TGTTTCCTGAGATTAAGAATTCCTCATATCAGTGAGGTCATATGATACATGTCTTTCTCTGATTGACTTGTTTTTAAGCTCAACATAACACCCTCCGGTTCCATCCACGTCATTGCAAATGGCAAGATCTCATTCCTTTTGATGGCTGCATGATATTCCATTGTATATATATACCACATCTTCTTTATCCATTCATCTGTCGATGGACATCTTGCCTCTTTCCACAGTTTGGCTGTTGTGGACATTGCTGCTATAAACATTGGGGTGCACGTACCCCTTCGGATCCCTACATTTGTATCTTTGAGGTAAATACCCAGTAGTGCAATTGTTGGGTCATAGGGTAGCTCTATTTTCAACTTATTGAGGAACTTCCATACTGTTTTCCAGAGTGGCTGCACCAGCCTGTATTCCCACCAACAGTGTAGGAGGGTTCCCCTTTCTCCGCCTCCCCGCCAACATCTGTCTTTCCTGACTTGTTAATTTTAGCCATTCTGACTGGTGTGAGGTGGTATCTCATTGAGGTTTTCATTTGGATTTCCCTGATGCCGAGCGATGTTGACCACTTTTTCATGTGTCTGTTGGCCATTTGGATGTCTTCTTTGGAAAAATGTCCGTTCATGTCTTCTGCCCATTTCTTGATTGGATCATTTGTTCTTTGGGTGTTGAGTTTGATAAGTTCTTTTTTTTTTTTTTTTTAAAGATTTTATTTATTTATTTGAGAGAGAGAGAATGAGAGATAGAGAGCACGAGAGGGAAGAGGGTCAGAGGGAGAAGCAGACTCCCTGCTGAGCAGGGAGCCCGATGTGGGACTCGATCCCGGGACTCCAGGATCATGACCTGAGCCGAAGGCAGTCGCTTAACCAACTGAACCACCCAGGCGCCCAAGTTTGATAAGTTCTTTATAGACTGTGGATACTAGCCCTTTATCTGATATGTCATTTGCAAATATCTTCTCCCATTCTGTTGGTTGTCTTTTGGTTTTGTGGACTGTTTCTTTTGCTGTGCAAAAGCTTTTTATCTTGATGAAGTCCCAATAGTTCATTTTTGCCCTTGCTTCCCTTGCCTTTGGCGATGTTTCTAGGAAGAAGTTGCTGCGGCTGAGGTCGAAGAGGTTGCTGCCTGTGTTCTCCTTTAGGATTTTGATGGACTCCTGTCTCACATTTAAGTCTTTCAACCATTTGGAGTCTATTTTTGTGTGTGGTGTAAGGAAATGGTCCAGTTTCATTCTTCTGCATATGGCTGTCCAATTTTCCCAACACCATTTGTTGAAGAGACTTTTTTCCATTGGACATTCTTTCCTGCTTTGTCGAAGATAAGTTGACCATAGAGTTGAGGGTCCATTTCTGGGCTCTCTATTCTGTTCCATTGATGTATGTGTCTGTTTTTGTGCCAGTACCATACTGTCTTGACGATGACAGCTTTGTAATAGAGCTGGAAGTCCGGAATTGTGATGCCGCCAGCTTTGCTTTTCTTTATCAACATTCCTCTGGCTATTCAGCGTCTTTTCTGGTTCCATACAAATTTTAGGATTATTTGTTCCATTTTTTTGAAAAAAGCGGATGGTATTTTGATAGAGATTGCATTAAATGTGTAGATTGCTCTAGGTAGCATTGACATCTTCACAATATTTTTTCTTCCAATCCATGAGCGTGGAACGTTTTTCCATTTCTTTGTGTCTTCCTCAATTTCTTTCATGAGTATTTTATGGTTTTCTGAGTACAGGTTCTGAGTACAGGTTCTTTGCCTCTTTGGTTAGATTTATTCCTAGGTATCTTATGGTTTGGGGTGCAATTGTAGATGGGATCGACTCCTTAATTTCTCTTTCTTCTGTCTTGTTGTTGGTGTATAGGAATGCCACTGATTTCTGTGCATTGATTTTATATCCTGCCCCTTGACTGAATTCCTGTATGAGTTCTAGCAGTTTTGGGGTGGAGTCTTTTGGGTTTTTCACATAAAGTATATCATCTGCAAAGAGTGTGAGTTTGATTTCTTTGCCGATTCGGATGCCTTTTATTTGTTTTTGTTGTCTGATTGCTGTGGCTAGGACTTCTAGTACTGTGTTGAATAGCAGTGGTGATTGTGGACATCCCTGCCGCGTTCCTGACCTTTGGGGGGAAGCTCTCAGTTTTTCCCCGTTGAGAATGATATTTGCTGTGGGTTTTTCATAGATGGCTTTTATGATATTGACGTATGCGCCCTCTCTCCCTATACTCTGAAGAGTTTTGATCGAATGCTTTTTCTGCATCTATTGAGAGGATCATATGGTTCTTGTTCTTTCTTTTATTAATGTATTGTATCACATTGATTGATTTGCGGATGTTGAACCAACCTTGCAGCCCAGGGATAAATCTGTGGTGAATAATCCTTTTAATGTACTGTGGGATCCTGTTGGCTAGTATTTTGGTGAGAATTTTTGTAACCATGTTCATCAAGGATATTGGTCTGTAATTCTCCTTTTTGATGGGGTCTTTGGTTTTGGAATCAAGGTAGTGGTGGCCTCATAAAACGAGTTTGGAAGTTTTCCTTCCATTTCTATTTTTTGGAACAGTTTCAGAAGAATAGGTATTAATTCTTCTTGAAATGTTTGGTAGAATTTCCCTGGGAAGCCATCTAGCCCTGGGCTTTTGTTTTTTGGGAGATGTTTGATTGCTGCTTCAATTTCCATAGTGGTTCTAGGTCTGTTCAGGTTTTCTGTTTCTTCCTGGTTCAGTTTTGGTAGTTTATATATCTCTAGGAATGCATGCATTTCTTCCAGATTATCTAATTTGCTGGCATAGAGTTGCTCATAATATGTTCTTATAATTGTTTGTATTTCTTTGGTGTTGGTTGTGATCGCTCCTCTTTCATTCATGATTTTATTTGTGTCATTTCTCTTTTCTTTTTCATAAGTCTGGCCAGGGGTTTCTCTGTAGTTAAGACTTTGTTTTTATGGTTTCCCTCTCTCTTTTTTTATACCTATGTTCATTTGTTTCCTTTATTAAATTCCACGTATGAGTGAAATCATATAGTATTTGTTTTTCTCTGACTTATATCACTTAGCATAATACACTCTAGCTCCATCCATGTCTTTGCAAATGGCAAGATTTCATTCTTTTTTATGGCTGAGTAATATTCCATTGCATATATTTTCCACAACTTCTTTATCCATTTATCAGTCAGTGGGACATGTTGGCCCTTCCATAATTTGGCTATTGTTGATAGTGTTGCTGTTAAACATCAGGGTGCACATATTCCTTCAAATCAGTATTTTTTTATCCTTGGGTAAATACCTGGTAGTGCATTTGCTGGGTCGTAGGGTAGTTCTGTTTTCAACTTTTTGAGGCACCTCCATACTGTTTTCCAGAATGGCTGCTCTGGTTTGCATTCTCACCAACCGTGTAAAGTTTCCCCTTTCTCCACATCCTTGCCAACATCTCTTTTTTCCTGTGTTAATTTTAGCCATCCTGACAAGGTATCTCATTGTAGTTTTGATTTGTAGTTCCCTGATGATGATGTTGAGTATCTTTCCACATATCTGTTAGCCATCTCTATGTCTTTTTTGGAAAAATGTCTGTTTATATCCTCTGCTCACTTCTTTACTGGATTACTTTTTAGGTGTTAAGTTTGATAAGTTCTTTATAGGTTTTGGATACTAAACCTTTATCAGATATGTTGTTTGCAAATATCTTGGAGTGAGAGGTATTTTTAACATCTTTTGTGACAGTTGTATTTTTTTTCCTGCTGTTTTTGGTATTAAAATGAATTTTGTTTGAAAAGTAATGGACTTATTGGGCACCTGGGTGTCTTAGTCGTTAAGCATGTCTGCCTTCGGCTTAGGTCATGATCCCAGGGTCCTGGGATCAAGCCCCGCATTGGGCTCCCTGCTCAGCAGGAAGCCTGCTTCTCCCTCTCCCAGTCCCTCTGCTTGTGTTCCCTCTCTGCTGTGTCTCTCTCTCTGTCAAATAAATAAATAAAATCTTAAAAAAAAAAAAAAAGGAAAGAAAAGTAATGGACTTATTTCACAAGTTTTATATTTGGCGGCTTCAAGGTTGCTCACTCTACTTTGGGTTTAACATAGCTTAACAGTTGGAATAGCTTTGAAAAGTATATTGAGTCAAGTGACTTCTAATTGATTTATGAATATCAGTGAGTGTGGTTGTTACGTAATCACAGCTGGCTTTCTGAGCTCTGCCATCATAAATCTGCCATGGAACATACCCAGGGAATTTGGATCAAGAGAAAATGTACAGGTGTCCTAGATCCATAGAAGTTTCCATTTGAAAATGACCTCACAGTTTATCTAATCTAACCGCTCAATTCAAAAAGATGGAGGCCTAACAGCAAAGAGTTGTTAGGAAATCGTTCTAGTGGTCAGAATAATTTTGGAGAGATCTTTGATAATGATGTACACATATTACTATTTTTGTTATTTCTCTGATGGATTTAAAGTGATATGCTTATTTACTACATTTCTGTCATTTTAATAATGATTATTTGCTTCTGACTATCCTTTTCTGCTCTGGGCTTCTCCTTAGTTCATGAGGGTGAACATGATGCTTGATGGCAAAATGAAATCATTACTGATCATTCACGGAGCAAAACAATAGGTAGTTTGGGGCATTTATCTTAATGAAAAATGTATCTTTTTAAACAGATTATCAGAGTTTTGTCTTAGCCTCATTTTCTATTGTAAAATACAGAATTATATGTATTAGTATTAGAAAGGAATGGTGATTATGGTGTTTTGCCTGATGTGTGTGGTTCAGAATGTATATACATAATTATTATGACTTTTGCTCCTTTGTATTGTAATTTATGTGATCATATTTTTCTCATTTTTCAGTTTCTCACAGCATAAAAATATTCTTTTTTCTGGTCACACGCACCACCCACACACACATGGAAAATCATTCTAATATAATATGAGATACTATTTCCAATGTGGTAAACATAAACCTTTTATTCATACTCAGTGCTAATAAGTCCAAATTTTACAATAATATGTGGATTTCTTATTACAGGTACATGTTGGGACTTGCAGCAATTCCAGCAGTTATACAGTTTTTTGGCTTTCTCTTTTTACCTGAAAGCCCTCGATGGCTGATTCAGAAAGGACAGACTCAGAAGGCCCGTAGAATTTTATCTCAGATGCGTGGTAACCAGACCATTGATGAGGAATATGATAGCATCAAAAACAACATTGAAGAAGAGGAAAAGGAGGTTGGCTCAGGTATGTGGATTTTGTAATTACATGAATTTTAAAACCACATAGTGGTTTTATTTAGAAACTATATTCTTCTGCTATTATTTAATATCTCTAAATGATGTAGCAATTTTATGTATATAACTAAATCAAAATATATTTTAATTCAGTTTTAAAAGTAATATAATGTTATAAAAGAAAAAAAAAACCATCACCATTATACCACCGTCTTCATATAATTACTATTTTTATTTTTGTAGAGCCTCTTTTGTTCTTTCAAAACTGGATATACTTGACATGGTTGTCATTATTTTGTGTGTAGGCGATAATTTTTGAGTATATGTATATTTTATATTTAAATATATATAAAGATAAATAATGCATATTGACCTTCCATATTAACAAAAAAGTCATAGTGTGAACTATTGTTAAAATAAATCACTTTAGTAAAACTAAATACCTTGTTTACATGTGTTACATTAATTTCCAGTTTTTATAAAGAATAAGAATATCTTCAGATCCTAGTTTTGGAATCATTTTGTCTTTCCCTGTTTTCATTAAAATGTTTAATTGTCTAATCAAAATTTCACCTTGTCAGAAAACCAAAAAAAAATAAAAAAATGTTTCTAGTCCATTTATGTTGATGAATTTCTTTTTGGAGAAGAAATCATGGAGGGTTTTGTAAAATCTCAGGATCTCTAATCTTGACAGTCTGATTTGGGTAAGTGATTTGCCGGATGTACGTGATGTGAGGTAGACATTTTGTAATACATTTCTCAACAATAACTATTACCCTGCTAGATTCACAATTCCCACAATTGTCTCATTTTCTCCCAACCTTCCTTTTGCCCCTACATTAATTGGAAACCCAAGTGGAAATGCTGACTTGTGTTAGTCAAATTATTTTTCACACTTAGGAAAAGGCAAACACCCACACTCATATATTGATATATGTCACACAGGTCTTGGAAGGTGTGTTCATTCACCTTCTCCTGCTTTATTTTTGGTGGAGCTGAATGTTGTGCTTTCCTGAAACAATACAATAAACTCTGCGGAAGCTGGTGACCATTGTTAGCCACACCTGATTACTCACAGTTATATATATGCAATACAGTAGTGCAGTGTTGTTATTCTCTTGCTCAGGTCAAAGCCCCAGTGAACTGTGAGTGGAATCTAGGTCAAGGTCATTTTTAACAAACCATTTGGTGAGCATATACCAGGTGCCGGGCACTGTCAGCATTTCCAAAGTAAGATGTTAGTGCGAGTATTAAAGAGAATTTTGCTTTTAACAAAATAATTCACTTTTACTGAGTTGAACATTGTGTTAATTTAAAAATACTATTTTAAATGTTCATTTAAATTACAAATATCTTCATTTATGCTCCTGTCTGAATTTCTCTCAGCTGTGGCTTGCATGAAATATGAGCTTGTTTTTGTAGTAATCAGTATGCTTGAAGCTCATTTACTAATAATGTGTGAGTGGAAAAACTTTTCAGGTTATTAGGTTATATTAAATACTATTTACAACATGAGTTTTTGTTATGTAAAGGGTAGGACAACAACTTAATAAAAAAAAGCCTTCCTATGTAGGGGTAGGGATACCACTGATTTGACTATAGAGTGTTGACCATGTAGCTTCATTTGGACTACCTAAAAATTTCTCTGACTGGTATAGCACACAGCCATTGACAGTGCGCACTATTTGAGTTTCATGACGATTTGGAATGTTTTTTTAAGAAACTTGAGGTACTTAAGATTGTAATTACCCACATCTGCTTTAGTTTTTATGAGAAGTCTTTCGGGGTTAAAATAGGGCACTTTTTCTTGGGTAAAAATAAAATATTGCTTTATATACATACACATTTGGCACAGGTTTTGAAAAAAAAATACTGTGTTACCGATTGAATCCTAATAATAATTGTCCCATGCTTGGGTAAATATCTTAAACTGCAACTAATAGGATTTACAATTTACCTTTCTCTTGATTTGTATTAGTTGAGTACTATCATCTTGCTTAGTTTTAAAATTAATCTCATGTTCTTTTTTAAAATTACAGAGTTAATAGCATTATGGCATGAATTCACAAGGCAGATTTGCCAGTGTTAAATAGCAGGTAATTTGGGGGCCTCACTTTTATGGTTGAGAAATTTGATCAGGGTAAAACCTGTTCTGCACACGTGTGAATTTTATTTCAGCATTGTCATGTCCAGGAATGAGACTCTGTGTCAATTTAGTTGGAAAATAGAGACCAGTGCTAGGGCTCATCTTAATACACCGGCAGGACAAATATACAGGAAGAAACAGTTGATTTCAAAATAATATAAATGTCCTGGCCCAGAGAAGACAAGTCAGCCATTGCGTTGCAGGGTTAGAGAGTGGCGTGGGTTCACCTGTGCACGGATCCTGACAAGGTTAATTTTGAGCCCTGATTTTAAGCCTGGGAACTCCGGGCAACAGAGTGCAGCAGTCTAGAGAGAGAGGAACTTTGGCCTAGCCACTGCAAAAAACTCCAGATATTTCAGGAGGTTAGAAAGAAGTTGTGCATGACCGCTGTTTCTTCTAGGGAGAAATGTTTTATCATCAGACATGGTGGCTTAGTTACCTCCTACCTGCCTGTGAACTCAATAAATAGATCTGATTCCTCATCAGTCCCCATGTCCTCCTCTGGGGGTTTCCAGTGGATTTGTAACATGTGACTGTTCACGGTACTTGCTTATGTGACCCTTCTCTTTTCCTAGGATTTTTTTTATCTTGGTCCCTGGAGTTTAAATTTGATTTCTTTGAGGAAAATAGGCATAGCTACCCAAGTATGTATTAAATTATTTTTTGGATGTGTGAGAGATTGGTGCCTATGGGATTGACTTCTTCTGGCTTCAGACACACTTTGTGACTTTCTGTAGTGAATCTGGTGGCTCTCTGGCCGTGGCTGCAGTGCAGGTGAAGCTCATAGCCCAGGCTGTGGAACAGCATTGTATTTTAATGGTGTTCCGTCTCGTCTGCACATGGCACAGAGGTCAGCCTTCTTAGCATGTAATTTCTCCACTATAGTGGGCAAAAGAAAAAAGAAAAAGGGCAATTTGATGGGAAAAGAAGCAAGCAATTGGTTTTCACGCATATTCAACACTGTTTATACATCCTGCAGGACTAATAAAGTGGGCTTGGTTTGGAAAGCTCCCTGGCGTGGGAGACAAGGGAAATGGAAGATGAGTCCTGGCTCCACCCCTAGTTTGGAATCCTAAAAAGATTTTCTAGGAGTTGCCGAACCTCAGTTTCTTTTTAGGTTTGTAAGAAAAGAGAGCCAGATTATAATAGCTCCACAATCTGAGTGTTTAGAGTTTAAAAAATCTGTGAGAAATGCCTGCTTTAATTTTTAAATACTATGCAGCAGCCTTTCATTCCAAAATATTTATTGAGTGACACTCAGAGTTGGGGATGTGGCAATAAATAAGACAAGGTTCTGGTCCATTCTGTTGGGAAGAAGCATACAGATGATAAAGAGTAAATTCCTGGATAACTGCAAATTGTAGTAATGGCTTTAAAGGAAATAAACAGGATGACGACGTTTATAGAAGGCTTGTAGGGGGATGGTTAGGAAAGGCTTCTCTGACGAGTTGAGTGTAAAGGCTAAGAAAGAATCAGAGTAGAGAACTGAAGGGGCGAGTGTTCCAAGCAGAGGGAACAGCAAGTACCAAATTACATGTATCACTAAGTGGACCAGATTAATTTTCTTGTAAATTTTGGTAATTGTTATGAAGTGTACATGTGCCAGATTTCTAAGGCATTGCAGTAAGAACTATTCGTCTTTATTTATGCCGGGTTGCTAAGCCTAAACTTTGAATTAGTAGGGACATAGTTACTACTTTTAGAGTTAAAAACAAATTTGAGTACAAAGTAATACACATTATCACTTCCATCATTTTGTTGCTCATTTCTTACAGATTGTTGCCTTAGTTTATTTCATGCTGCTTAGATGTGTATTAGTGTCATGACTTTCATTTACAACAGAGGTAGAAACTGGAGGGAGACCCCAGTAATTACTTAAGGCAGTGATTCTCAAACTTTTCCACTTAGCTTCAATGTTGAGTGGAGTGAGGCCTTTTGGGGCCTGGATTCCATAGCAAAAGGCAACTGCAGTAAGCCCAACATTTATTTGAATTTTTATGCTTTATCCTAGAAATTAACAAAAGTTGGTGTTTTGTTTCATAATACACCTGTTTACTTTAGAAGTTTTTTCTAGATATTTAGTGTTTATTTATTGACTTTTAAAGTGTTCCGTCACTCTTACCATGTTCAGTTCCTGGATGTGCACCCCTCAGTTTGACAGACATGAACTTAAAGCCTTTGGAGTGCCTCTGGGGCAAGTCCATGAGGTGGGGTAGGAAAAGTTGGAGCTGCCTATATTGTCAGAAGCAGATGGTCATCTCTTAATTTACCAGGCGTATAGAAGAGCAGAGTCTTTGTCAGGAGCTTTAGTTTATAACAGTAATTGTCTCACAAGAAAAATAGAATTGGTCAACAAAAGAGGACTCCTCTGAAGGCAATCTTTGGAAAGAATCTAGAGATGAAATTTGTGTATTCATATGCTTTATACCACCTCGCTTGAAAGGACTCTCTAATGACTTCTTTAGTTTTCTGTTTTTTTTTTTTTAATATTTTATTTATTTATTTGACATAGAGAGACAGAGTGAGCACAAGCAGGGGGAGTGGCAGGCAGAGGCAGAGGGAGAAGCAGGCTCCCCACAGAGAAGGGGGAGCCCGATGCAGGACTCGATCCCAGGACTCCGGGACCATGACCCGAGCCGAAGGCAGTGGCCCAACCAACTGAGCCACCCAGGCGCCCCTAGTTTTCTGTTTTTAATTGATACATAGTTGACACACATTATGTGAGTTTCAGGTGTGCAGACATAATGATTCGGCATGTGTATAATTGCAAAATGATCACTGCAGTGTGTCATTAACATGCATCACCACACATAGTTAAAACATTTTTTTTTTTTTCCTTGACGTCTTCAATTTCTTATCCTGCA